ATTTATGAACTGACTATTTCTGCCGGCAGATCACTTCATCGATTTGAAGTTCGAAAGTTTTTTAAACGAAAAAACGAACGAACCGCGCAAACAGATTGATCACTCGCGAACATCTAGACAACAACAAAATCATCAAAAACAACGGATGCAGAACAACAACAATTTTAAAATCAGTTAGATGTTACTTCCAAGTCAAATTGAACATGAACGTGTGTGTGTGCTAAATTTAAAAATAACCTTTTACATTTTTACGTACGATTTAAGTATTCAATTCCAGTCGGCAGCAATGGACATTGGTAGATGTAGAGGATGATATTCTAATAATAATAATAATAATAATAATAATAAAATAATTATAATTATTAACATTGTTGTTTTTTGTTATTATTTTATCTAAATTATAATTTATTTGTTATAATGATATTTTTCCAAAATTTTTAAACATGAAAATGAAAGACGTTTTTTAACTTCCGAAGCTGAACATTCGTTACAACATGACGGATATAACCGACGAGCGTAACATGTGTAACACATAAAATGAAGGTTTAGAAGATTTAAACAAGCATTTTTTTTTATAAAATGTCCATATAAAAATGATCAATGTTTTAAAAGTAGAAAGAAAAGTTTGAATGTAATTCTAAAATATGTCGCAGAAACCCATGAATGGAAGCTTAATTGAGTTAGCTGCATCGCGACGCTCGTTTGAAAAAATATTTTGTTTTGTGGCTCGCACAATGCATCTTAGCACATCGAAAAATTTTCGACTTAAATTTTGCGAAACAAATTTTTTTAAGAAAAAAAGTTCATTTATTTATTAACAGCTATTTTAAGTCATGTTTGAAATTTAACTCGAGCAAATGTGGGCTTTTTGTATTTTTGTTTGCCTTTGTGTGTGTATGGGATTGTGTGTGTATGCATGTATATGTGTTTGTGCATGTGTATGTAATTGTGTGTATGTGTATGCACGTATGTGTGTATGTACTGTACATATACAATGTACGTGTGAAAACTTGTCTGTGATAATGTGATGCATCAGAGTTGATTAGATTGGCGGAGCAGCTACACTTTATAAATTATTTTCTAACAATATTATTGCACAGTTGCACATCCATCTTGCCACTCCTGACAAATGAAGTTTAAATCTTTAAATTTAATCAAAATTCAATCTGCCTGTAAATCAAATTATTAGTTTTCAGTCTCAATTCATTTTAATATTTTTAATATATTAATATTAATATTTAATATATATTTAATATTTTCATGAAATCAACTGCAGCTTAACCTAACTTGTTCATTCACACACATACTGTCGAACCTCCTTATAGCGAACTTCTATACAACGAAAATCTCTTTATAAGAATTTTTTTGATGTCTCTTGGAATTTTACAAACAAAAATTGTTTCTATAGAATAAAAATAATTTCTTTATAACGAATAAAATTTATGAAAGTTTAATAAAATATCCGACCATCAGACATTGCATGAATTGACACAAGCGGTATTTTTGTAATCCTTTAATATCTTAGAATCATATTTATTGTTTTTTGTTCTAGTACAGAGACGTAGCTAGGGGGGCAGGGAGGGTACATAGGTTCCCGGGCGTCAAGTACAGGGGGCGCCAAAATAAGGCTGACAAAATTTTCACAAGAGACAA